CCATCCTCCCACAGTATGCAATGTGTCATCCTGCCTACACACTGCCAGCACCAAAACTCCAAGTGAATCCTATTCTCATAGAGACAGGTCACAGTGAAAGTGGAATTTGTCATTCTCTGTCCACCTAGATTCGGGACCCACATACCCCTGCGCGGTACACTGTCCAATGAGCAGCAGGAAAGCACAAGGCATGCTGCACATGGTCATCCTTATGCCTTATTACCATGTGCAAAGCATTAGTGTAAAAAAATTAATTAAAAAAACACATTTGATTGAACTTAAAAACTAAAAAAAATATTAGAAATGAATTGTTACATGACCCCGAGCTGTGCAACCTCCCTCTCAGGCACCAGATTTTTTAGGAGAAGCAGCAGTAGGCTCTGAGAGAAGCTGGTGCCGGAAGCAGGGAACACAAAATCCTGCAGATTCACAGGTTATGCTGAACTTCAGGTTTAAAGTATTATGAATACTTACATTGTTCCAGCTTGGCACATGTAAATATGCATGCGCCATACCTTAGTGGCCCATCAGCATCCTGTAAACCATTGTAATACATGGAGCTACTACAATTCCGGGTCCTGTATGGCACCGAGTTGAGCCTTCCATTTTGCTGTAAAAACATTTGGGGGTCGCTCCCCTGGTACAGCAGCCATTCAAAGACACAAGACATTCTCTGATTGGGCGAAGGGCGCTGAAATCCCCATCAGTAGACTGGAGGAAGAGATATGACCAAGTCTACCCACAGAAAGTGGTCTGAAGAAATGGGCTGTCTCAAGTTCGGCACTTCTTACCTCTCAACATAATTTAATGTCGTACATAATATCTTTGGCTCAAGAGAGCCAATCCCCTGCCAAGCCGCTCTTACTGGTTTTGAAAAGTAGAAACTTCAGGATTTACGTCAAACCGAACTTAACTGCATCATGTTAAAACACCATCAACGCGTTTCATAGCTTCTCACTGTACTTCAAGACTTCTTTGCATCTCTTTCTGTCCGTTAGACAGAAGTCCTACATGCCTTTCCTGGGCCTGAAACACCAATCATTGGGCACCACCACAAGTGTTTTTTGGAAACAAGTAATGTACCGTTACTGGTTACTGTTCTTCAATGCCTAAGGTGTACAGAAAATCTTTCACAAGTTTGGTGAGCACTTTCTTGCACCTATAGGTAGCCTACGTAAGCACAACTATAGTAACAAGTACCATGGCCATGATATCATGCACTGGGTAAGGGGTTGAATTGTGTACATAGAGCAGGAGTGGACACACTAATATGGAATTCAGGAGCCAGTCTGTCCAATCCAGGAGCCGGTTCTATAGACAACTAGAGAAAACTAGCTGTAAGAAATATTGGTGACCTGGCTCCTGGGATCTGTCCACCCTGACATAGAGGATGCTTGTATCATGAATAGTTTTTACCTGGGGTTTGGCTTTGTTGTTCTAGATATATTTTATCCATGGGATAACTTTTATTATAGAGCATTGGAATGAAGTGGGGAACATGTGGTCAGAGAATGAAGACTGGATTTGCCTAAATGACAAACCAATTTGCAACAGCATGGAGGACACCATGGGATGTAGAACTGGCTGATCTTCTTGATGGAACCACTGTGTGGAGTAATTGTGAAATATGTTTGCTTCCCACTTCAAAATTCTACTCCACACTGGATTTTCAGCATGGGGTGGAAATATCCTTTAATACGGTAGCATTCCCGCATTCAAGACCGGAGGCAAGAAACAAAGCTTGACCTACAAGTTCCGTCATTCCATTGAAGTTCTCCTGAAAGCATCAATGACGAAATTCCAAAACTGAGGAGGAGGAAGAGAAGAAAAACAAATCACAAGTTTTTGCAAAGCAAACTGTCAGATGAAGCCATGTTTTATTAATCTGGTCTGTGCCGCAGCAGACAGCGACGCAAGCACTCTCTTCATCAAAGGCAGTATGAGGAGACCTCAGGAGCGAGCTGGCAGTACAAAGTATTGACTGTAACACCGCCATGAAGAGAAGACAGCTTGGACTGGGCCTCGTACAGTGCTGGGAAAACTCTGCCCTAAATGTAGTCCAAGACGGGTCTATCGAAATATCATTTATTTGTCACACGGAGTGGAGAGATGCCATCTGGATGTGAACAGATTGAAAGGAAATCTTACAGGAGGTTCCTCCTGTCGGAGAACGATAGGACATTATGTGCAATATTATGTTACCGCACAACAGGCGGCCTCTAGAAATCACATTGAGAGCGCTCAACTGAAGACAGACAAAGAAAAAAACCGAAATAGCTTTTCGTCAACATATGAGAATTTTGATACATTTGTTACTTTTCTTAAAAGGTGCAGTCCTCTTCTCATCCTTAGCATATTACAACTTAAAGTCAAGCAGTGCTTTGATCATGATGGGCCAAGCAAGGAGCTCACGATAATTTAGTTCTACTCAGGAGCAAGAATTTGCCTTTTGCTACCCCTGTTGCTCCGCTCAGCTAGCAAAGAGAGGGATAGTCCTGTATAAGGGCTTGAGTTGCAACTTACAAAAGGACACTGGACCTCCCCTGGTGACTGGCCCAGTACCATCACATAGAGTGGTCAATCTGACCATGTATTATTTATATGTTACACTCTGAATATGCGTGTAACATGAAATGTGGTTGGGAGGTTAAACTAAGCCATTACAGCAAACTTTTAACTTCCAATAGTTGCCTTACATAACAAGTGAAAAAGAAAATAACAATTAATAAAGAAAAAAATAATAATTAATATAGTGCGCCCATAGTATAGTACGCCCATTTTTGGAGCCGCATGTGGAAACTCGTGCCAGTACGCATATGGTTTTGCCACATGCCCTTTAATGCACACTAGCTGCATCCATGGTTTATGCCTGTACACATACAGTTTTGCAATATGCCCCTTGATGCACACTAGCTGCATCCAGGGTTGTACACCAGTATGCATACTGTTTGCCATATGCCCTTGGACGCACACTAGCTGTGTCCAGGGTTATTCGCCCATATACATACAGTTTTGTTAGCATGGGGTTTGCATGCTGGCTGCTTATTTCCATGAAAGAAAAAAAAATGTAGGTAAAAATGTTAATTCTTTTTTAATTAATCCTCAGCCACACCAGTGCATGGGCATTATGGTGCCGTTCATGTGCATTTTGATGCACATCCATTGATTTCAATGGGCTTTTAACAAGCAAATGTCCATAAACATAGTGTACGAGTCAAAACGGGTCCTTTGAGATTTGTGCAACCTTTACAGCAGCCTCTTGCCTCTTACACCGGCCAGCATTCTCCTTTGTAGGCTAAGTGCACCTATCTGCCCATGTTTCATGCTACACTGGTATTTAGGGTGTAACATGATCACATCACAACCTACCACCCCCTCTCCACTCACCTGAATCATGGGGGTTCTTCTCCCTGCAGGCTTGTGCACCTTTTTGAATTTAGCATAGCTGTCCGTGGCTTCAGCCACAGTCGTGTCATTCATTCACAGATCTTTGGACAGGATCTGCAGAGGGACAGAGGAACCTGCCGTTCCCAATGGAATACAAATGCAGTGATGTCACTGCACTTGTAGCCCATTGACACTTCCTCCCGTGTTACTGCTGGTCTGTACCTTGGTACGGACTTGCACAGGAGGAACAGTCAGCAGGAGCCACTTGTGATCTATTGATCGCCGATGAAATGCTTTACTGACTCCTATGCAAAAAAATAAAAATGCAAATTTTTTCTTTTATGAAGACGTAAGCATTTACTAGTTTTTAATTGCAAAAGGTGGAATTTCCCTTAAAAGCAATAAAAATGCCCCAACGGCCAGCTTTTTTCCCCCCAGCCCCTTCAATGCAGAATTCCAAAACCGGCTCCTAGGGACAGCACTGCATAGCTGGAAGCCTTCAGCCAGCTTCCATTACACTACAGTAATGCTGAGGCAGCCGCTCACCCTTGTGCACAGGGACCCCTGCTATGAATCCGATCTAGTGTATGTAAGGCGAGCTGGCACAGACGCGCCAATGACGACTCACCCGCCACCAATGCAAAAAAACAAATGTAGGAGACGTGTAAGCTGCTCCTGAATCTCCCTCATACAGCTTCATTCATTTTCCTCTAGAACACGTCAAACTAATCTGTAAACTGCCAGGTCCACCGAGGACACTCTGCAGCCATCAGAAACTTGATTTACAATGAAGCCGACATATAAAAGACATATAAATGCTCGGAATAAATTAATTTAATAGCACAAGGATTTATCCAAATGTTCAGACAAGCTGGAAGGGTGGAGTGAGCAGAGGGATGAGTTCCTCAGTCTGCTGCTGCTCTTTCTCTGTCTAATTAGTAAGATAGTGTCAGCAGTGTATTCCTGAATTGTAAGGGTCTGGTCACACTATATGTTGTAGTAATGGGCACATTACTGTGTATTTTACAGCATTCATATACCTTCAGCCCTGAGGTTTACACAGCCCCATCACACAGCAAAGCCAGGAGGACGACACCGCTTTCCCCGATCGGGCCCATTCACACCATGGCATGGCGGGAAAGTGCAAGCTTTGTGTGTTGGTGCGATGCAGTGCCATTCATTTTAATGGCACTCCAATGCACCTTCCTTCAGCAAGGTGCCAATCACGCAAAGTGTGTTGGCACGATGCGGTGCTGTTCTTTCTAAAAGGCACCACAATGCATGGTTCTGATTGGCACCTTGCTGAAGGAAAGTGCATTGGGGTGTCATTAAAATGAATGGCACTGCATCGCACCAACACACATAGCGTGCACCTTCCTGCCACGACATGGTGTGCACGGGACCTAGTAGGGAAAGCGGTGTCATCCTTCTGGCTTTACTGTGTGATAGGGATGTGTAATACTCAGGGTTTAACGGATATGAATGCAAATCCTCTAGCAGATAAAATGGCTTCCATATATATAGTATTTTATATGTAAAAATATATAAAAAAGACCAACAGTTGTAAGTGATAACATGAAAACATTCCAAGTAAGCATCACATTTCTCCTTACCTGTATAGTGAACCACACATGTCTGTCCCTTCTTGGGAAAAGTCCTGCCTGTTGTGAAAAATAAAGATATAATCAGAACACACAAAAGACTTTCTGTTCTGTAAAACTTCTAACATGTTAAAAAGATGCCTTAAAGTGTATTCTCAAAAGACTTTTATAGGATTTAGTCTAGATTACAGAAGTGAGATCAATCCGGAAGGTTTATTTTCCTGTGTGTCCCCTCTGGGGAAAATCCAAAACTTGTCACCAGAACAGGAAATTGAAGAGAAACTTTTAAGCGAAAACTATTGTTGTCATGGCAACTGCCCAAGAGGGACAGGAAATCGACTTTTGCCCAGCAGGCAGGGTCACCCCACTGCACCTGTAAATCATCCGAATATTTAACAGTGTATATGCCCGCCTGTAGAAAGTTGTCACCAGGACAAGTGCCCCCACTGGAAGATTCTCATTGTATTCCTGTTATGGTGACACGTTTTTAGAATTTTCTTTTACTTTCAATCCCAATGACAGTGTCCACCGTGGGGGTGAATCTCCTCAGTGCGGTTACAAGACAACCATAGGTTTGGCTCTAGATACACTCATTAAAAAAAAACAAAAAAAAACCTATGATATATATATATATTTATTTTTTTTCCTTTTTTTAAATCTTTTTCCCCCCTCTCTAATCAGTATATCTAAAACCAAAACCTATTGCTGTATAATGTATATATCTATATATTTATTATAAAATAATTCCAGCATGCACAGAGATGGGGAAGCGACCCAACACATCCATTTTGGATATCATTTGTAATCTTACAGTGAAATATTTCACACATATGAAGGTGAATGAATGGTTTTATAGGGGTTGGGCAGGCTTCTGCTTGTGTCTTATATACAATTCAGTAACTTCCCCTTGACCCCCATTCACTACCAGACAAAACAAGGAGAGCATATACATAAAAAAGGCGATAACATACGGTGATATATATATATATTTTTTTATTACACACACACGATTTCAGCTGGGAAAATTAGACCCATCTAATAAAAATTTCTTCCTGATATCATAATAGTCAAGTCGGCCCAAATCTGAAGCGGTCCAATAATGGTGGGGAGAGCCAAGGAAAGGTCAGTGTATGTTGGTGGGTTAAGGCAAACCTAAGCAAAGTCACAGCTAATTGCCCACAGACATGAGAGGATGGATTACCATACACGCTACAACCTGACCATAGGACTCCGGTCTCATCAACTTCAGATTTATCAAAACTACTCAATGTGAGGACCTACCTAATCCATCCAATCACTATGGATCCATTCAGGCCGACCCTTGTACTACGTACTTGTTAGCAGATCTAAAGGAGATTGTACAATCAGAATGTAACGTGTGTGTGTGTGTGTGTGGTGAGCTCAAGATGAAAACCGCCGTCTTAGATGGAGGTCTCATGTCTATGGGCTCCACCAGATGCCCTTCAGCCAAATGTTCTTAGGGATTTGGGGCTGGTTGAGCTGGCCGTACACCAGTAGAGCTTCCGTAAAATGTATTTTCGGAACACTTGTTCGATTTTATAATAGTTATCGGGTCAAATTGACGATCATTTTTGACTGCAGTTATGGAAAAAAAAAATAAAAGTACAAGGCGCAGGATGGAATACGTTTCTAACAGTGAAGGTGGACGGTCTTCGTTGGGGAAGACTCCATTCCTTTCCAAAATCAAAGGAAGTCTTTAACGACATTCAACAACTCTCTGACGGCATTCTCTAATGTTCAGATGGGATTATTTGTATGAATGTTCATACAAAAGTCTACGAGCTTTGGAAAACCCCTTTACAATAGGTAACCCCCCCCCCATAACAAAAAAATTAATTGCACCAACATTGCCCAGCATCCTGAACCTCCTTCCTTTTCCACAGGCGACGAGCTCCAATGATATCTTTATCCCTGACAATCTCCAGCAAGTTTTTTTTCCTTATTCAAGTTCTGTTTTATCTTTATTTTCAGTTTGCCGGCTATTTATTTCCACCAGATACCGAGATGCCACCCCCCTGGCCACCCCACCTCGTCCGCCCACGTGGGCTGATGCAGCATCTGGTTTTGGTAACATCTCTCGGGTTAACCTCGTAGCTGCTGGAGAGAGAGTTTTAAACATAGTAACATCCTACGCCTGACCTTTTCATCGGACCCTCCCTGTCTCATGGCCCAGGTTGTGTTACACAGTGTGACTGTCGCCAATACACAGTGTATCAACTTTGTAAAATGCCAGCACGGGCCCCTGACAAGTGCCAAGAGTAACAATCTGCGTAGGGGATGCCGTGTATTAGGAGACCTTAGATGTTATAAAAACAACAAATAGTAATTGTGACAATAAAATGCTCTGCTCCGGCAATGTGGTTATGACATTTTTACACTTCTCAATTTTATTATATGGAAAGTTTTGAGACCTGAGTCCTATCTGTGGCAGCGCTCTTCCGGATGTGTTGGGGAGTGGGTTCCAAAACGGCGAAAAAAAGGGGGAAGTTGTTCTGTGGGGGGGGAGGAGTTTTCTTTTGGGCAAGTCTTTCTTTAAAGAAAGTATATGTTGGGGGTTGTGGGGTATGCGGAGGGGTGTGCAACTTTAGTTTGAGTGTGGACCGGGGTGTCCAACTTAAAAAGACAGAGCAGACAAAACAAAATGACGGAGTCTAAAGCGCTACTACCCTTGGGAACAGGGTGCGGGGAGAGAGACGCCGGACGTCGATGACTGCACACCCATGTGAACCTCATGGTGAGTTACTACACTCTTTTTTCTTGGCACCATCACTTATGCCTCATGTGTTACCTCTCTCTCCCTCTCGCCTCTAACACCAAACGGAGCATCTGACGTTACACAAGCCTCCATTCGTCAATCCCTCCAGGCCTGAACCACCCCCTCCCCCCTGTTCCCAAGGGTAGTAGCGCTTTAGACTCCGTCATTTTGTTTTGTCTGCTCTGTCAATTTTATTATAATAGCTGCACTCCACGACAAGTCGGTTCCATCACCCTACCTAATTATCGGGCATCTAAAATGCAGTAAAGAGACACCGTCACCTTGCCCATGTAGAACAAAGTGACAGTAAAAATGCAAAGGGACCCCCGACCCCTCTATACTCACCGTGTCCGTGCAATGTAAATTGACGGTGCCTATGCCAAGGGCCTCCTGACCCCCTCAGACTCCCTTGCCTATGCAGAGCAAAGTGCCCGTTCCTATGCAAAGTGCCCCTGACCCCCCTTGCCTATGCAGAGCAAAGTGGCAGTGCCTACGCAAAGTGCCCCCTGACACCTCTATATTCACCTTGCCCATGTAGAGCAAAGTGACAGTGCCTATGCAAAGTGCCCCTGACCCCTCTATACTCACCTTGCCCATGTAGAGCAAAGTGACAGTGCCTATGCAAAGGGCCCCAGCCCCTCTATACTCACCTTCCCCATGCAATGGAAATTGACGGTGCCTATGCAAAGTGCCCCTGACCCCTCTATACTCACCTTGCCCATGTAGAGCAAAGTGACGGTGCCTATGCAAAGTGCCCCTGACCCCTCTATACTCACCTTGCCCATGTAGAGCAAAGTGACGGTGCCTATGCAAAGTGCCCCCTGACACCTCTATATTCACCTTGCCCATGTAGAGCAAAGTGACAGTGCCTATGCAAAGTGCCCCTGACCCCTCTATACTCACCTTGCCCATGTAGAGCAAAGTGACGGTGCCTATGCAAAGTGCCCCTGACCCCTCTATACTCACCTTGCCCATGTAGAGCAAAGTGACGTTTCCTATGCCAAGTGCCCCTGACCCCTCTATACTCACCTTGCCCATGTAGAGCAAAGTGACGGTGCCTATGCAAAGTGCCCCTGACCCCTCTATACTCACCTTGCCCATGTAGAGCAAAGTGGCGCTGCCTATGCAAAAAAGAGACCCCTTAAACTGACCTTGCCCATGCAGAGAAAAATGACTGTGCTTATGCAAAGTGCCCCCTGACCCCTCTATACTCATCTTGCCCATGCAAAGCAAAGTGACAGTATCTATTCAAAGGGCCCCCTTATATCTACCTTGCAAATGCAGAGCAAAGTGGCAGTGCTTATGCAAGGTGCCCCCGACCTTGCTATACTCACCCCAGCCCATGCAGAGCAAAGTGACGGTGTCTATGCAAAGAACACCCCCCACTGACACCCTTATGCTTATCTTGCCAATGCCAGGCAAAGTGATGGTGCCTATACAAAGGGCCCCCTGGAACCCCTTATACTCACCATGCCAATGCAGAGCAAATGAAGGTGCCTATGCAAAGGGCCCCTGGCCCCCCTAGACTCACCTTGACCATGTAGAGCAAAGTGACGGTGCCTATGCAAACCCCACCCCTACCCCCCCAAACCTCCTTATACTCACCTTGCCCATGCAAAGCAAAGCGACAGTGCCTATGCATTAAAACCCTATTGCACCTAGCGTGCATTGCCATTCATTTGATTGGCACCCTAACGCACCTTCTGGTCGCTGTATGCTGCCATGCACAGAACCACAATACCGCAGGTTGCAGTGAAAACAAAGTAGTGGTATTTTGGTAGGGCGTGTTGCACTGCATTGCAGCATGTGGTGGTACATTTGGGTGTCAGTCAAATGAATAGCAAGGCAGCACACCTAGCACCTGGTAAAGCATGCTAGGTACAACAGTGAGCGTTAATTGCGCACTAACGTGTAAGTAACACTATGCTTAGGTGTGAATGGGCCCTAAAGGAGCATTGGCGACCTGGCTCTGGGGATTTGCTCAACCCCCGATTTGTTTTCTAGGAACCATTAGCACTACGATCATTATTAAACACAGTAAGCAGCCATTTTACAAGAGATTACACATCTATATATTTCACACATCCTGGAGTGCGTACTGTTCCTAGATATTCCAAGCGCACATAATGCAGGTACGAGCCTCCCATCTGTCTGTATATAAACACAAGACGCACTGACCTACACTAAACACCATCCCACTCGTTTGACTGTATCACCATGGTGCAAACCTCAACATATGTTCAGACAAACGAATAGAAACAGGAACGTAATGTTCGAAAACAAG